TATATATATTTATATTATATTATTACAAGTAATAATAAAAACTTTTAAAATGAGGGGAAAAAAAATTTTTTTTAAAAATTAAAGTAATATTATGTAATGCATTTTACTTTTATATATATAACTTAGTTATATATCTCAACTATTATTAAAATTTAAGGTTCTATTAAAGTGTGTTTTTCACTTTTTAAAATTATTTATTTATTTATTTATGTATTTTAAACCGTATATGTTTCAAAACGCGAAATTTTGTGTATTAATAATTAAATTATATTTAAAATATTGTTCTTTTTTTTTTTTAAATTAAACCTAATAAATATTTTAAAATAACTTTTTTTTTGTAATGTGATACATAAAATTTATTTCTCCTTTCCTATTTCCTAATAGATGCGAAAGCAATAAAATTTATAAGAAATACTTTAAGTTAATTTAAAAATGTCTGGCTTAACAGTAATAAAAAATGTTATAATTAAAAAGCATTAAAATTTTTTATGCTTCAATTTTATTCATGAATCTAAATTCTGTATCAGGAATATATTGCAGTACTTATAAATTATTTTAAAACAAGTGTAACTGACAATTAGTTTTAATTATCAAAAATTATCATTGATTTACACAAAAAGTAATGATTTATACAAATGAATGTTTTCTTTATAATAAAATAAAATTTAATATTATCATTATTATTAAGCTTTGATTGAATGTGATTAGGAAAGATTCTTACATAAGAAATAATAGTAATCATTTCCTTAATTTATTACTCTTATGAGTTTGTATTAATATTTTTTTAGAACATTTGAATAAAGATACTTAATTTTCTTTGGTGTTAGAAAAAATTGTTTCATGATTCGATTGGGGATGCTAATGAACAAAATGAAAGTAAAATATTTTACCTTTGTGTCCTACTCCATATAGAAAATGCAGATTTTTACAGCCATTAATCCTAAAATAATGTGAATGTTGACGAAAACTTACGCACTCGATTAGAAACTATGAGAAATAAAAGTTTTCTAGCAACGTATATAAATTTTCCAAGCTAAATAATATTTGACCGTTAAACCAAAAAACTAAATTTAATAAAATAACCTCAGAGATAAGTTACCACCAAGTTTTGCCGCGTTTGTTACAATTTCATAGAGATAAAATCAAGTGTATTAAAAATGGTTTAAATTTTTGCAACTTCTTCTACCACGATCACTTTCGAATATGTTTTAATACTAAGAATAATTGAGAAAAATGATCGAGTTTTGTAGCAAGAAACGTATGCTATTGGGTATTTTTTGTTTGGGCGGGTAATTATTATTATTATTATTATTGAATAAAAATTAATTTTTTGAAATACAGTAGAATTTTCCTTTTGACGTTTTTTTTTTTTAGAAGTAATTTCATTAACTGAAAGTAACAGATTCATTTTAAATATTTATTTTTTTACAATTTGATAATGTGGTTTGTAGGTTAACTTTAGTTGTTTTAATTGTCGAAAGTCACTGGACTGATCAAAATAACGAACAGTTAAAAAATGTAGATAATTCTTCAAAAGCAGAGCAACACTGTTGGCAAACAGAAACTTTTGAAGTTGTTGAGCCTTGTCATCTATGTAGTAAATTAGAAATTGATAGTGGTAGTGTGGAAGCCTGTTTACCTACACATTTTAAAGAAGTAATTAAATGTAAAAATTCAGGAATAACCTATAGAAGGTAAATTTAAATCATTATTAATCTTAATCGTAATAGTTAAGATTATGAAAAGTTGTAAATATAAACCTTGAATTTTATTATTAATTTAAGAAAAAAAATTTTTTTTTTAATGTCTTTTTAGTTGTTCTAAAGTTAAATGGGTTGAAGAAAGAAAATATTGGATATTTGAAATTTCAATGTTTGTTCTGGCTGTTTTATCATACACCATTGTGTACTATAGGCAAAAAATTTTAGACAGAAGAGTTATACTAAGAGTGCAAAAACAACTGGCAAGCGGTTTAGCTAGTTAAAGGTAAAATGCATAAATTGTGCCTTGAAGTTTTTTCTAATGTTGATAAAGATGGAACATGCTTTGTCCCATTAGAAACAATAATTTGCTTATTTATTTATATTTATTGCGATTGTCCTCCTGTACCTATAACACTTGTAATTACAAATAATGATGAAAAAAAAACATCTTTTAAAATTAATACATCAGGCATTGAATTTAAAATTGTGATTGAAAATGAAATGTTGGCATCCTCAAATATTTGTAAATTACCTGTTTTAATTTCCTGTAATGGTACATCATTTATTGGCGGTTTATGTGGAGTTTTACGCCAGTTAATTAAAATTATCGATGAAAAGCATTCACTACTAGGATTTAAACAAAATTGTTTATATGCCTGTGCTGAATCTTCCCTCTGGACAAAGTTTTGTGAAGTTGACATGACACTTACAATAAATCACATAATTCAAAAGCAAAATTTAAATTGTGACTTGCATGAAATTCCTGTAGATTTAGTAAGGTTTGAAAATCACATGATGCAACCTGTGAAAATTCACAATATTGAAAAAAAAAAACAAGATATAGCTAAAGAAAAAAAAAAGAAAAGTTTAAGTGTGCAATTACAAGAGAAATTAAATTTGTCGGAAACTTTGGAGCATAAATTTTCTGATGGTTTGGATATGACATTAGAAGATTTAATTCTTTTTCCTAGTTTTTATATTTTATTTAAATGTTTAACCTGTGATTTTTTCAAAAACAATTTGCCATTCACGTTTAAATGGTACATGACCATGTTGGAAAATGATAAAACGGAAAAAGGCTTACTGTTATTTGCAGAAAATGTAAAAGTATTTAAAAATGTAATAGATGGAAATTATACTATACCTAAAGTTGAAAAAGAAAGTTTTTACAAAGGGGAATATAAAAAAAAACAACCGAAACGTCATTTTTACACAAAACAAGAAGAAATAGAAAAATGTTTGGAAATAGTTAATGAAATAAAAATTGATTTCCGAATAACATCAGATTTTGGTGAGGGAATAGATTTCGATTGGGGTGATTTACCATCAGAAGTTTGTTTAGGAGACAATCAAATACCCATAAAAAGATTAGAAAAAAAAAATCAACAACTTAAAAGCATGATCAAAGCAATTTTAAAAATAGCCAAAAATGGAGATCGGATTGTTGATTTCTGTTCCGGAAGTGGACATTTAGGCCTGACTTTGGCTCATCTTCTTCCCACGTGCACAATCGTTTTAATTGAAAACAAGGAACAATCGTTAAACAGAGCGAAAGACAGAGCTTACAAACTAAAACTCTTTAATGTTATTTTTTGCCAATCAAACTTGGATTATTTTAAAGGAAATTTTAACATTGGAGTGTCACTTCACGCATGCGGCGTAGCAACGGATTTGGTCATTGAAAGATGCATTGAAGAAAAAGCTGCTTTTATTTCTTGTCCCTGTTGTTACGGTTCCATACAGCCGAATCACGTAATATCGTATCCGAGGAGCAGGATTTACCAAAACTCCCAATTAACAGTTGGGGATTATTTTGTGTTGGCCCATTCGTCTGATCAAACCCACGATGATGACAATGCAAAAACCATTCAAGGTTTTAAATGCATGATGGCGATTGACTCCGATAGGTGTTTACGTGCCCAAGAAGCCAATTATACTGTCTTGTTATCAAAATTAAACCCCCCATCATGCACGCCCAAAAATAATTTGTTGGTGGGGTTCCCTGGAACGTAAAAAAAAAAAAAAATTTTTTTTTAAAGAGTTTATAATTTGCGTGAGATGTAATAATAAATATTTTTATTGCGATAATAAATATAATTAAAAAATTTTTTTAATAAATATTTGATTTTCTTTTAGTTTTACTTGAAAATTTTTTTAAATAAACAACCAATGATTTTTTTAAAACGGCATTTTCACTTTCTAAATTAATAACCACTTTATTTAAAGCCACCATCGTCAAACGTACTTCGGCTATTTTTTTCCAAAATTTTGATAATATTTCAAAATCCTAAAAGAAAAAATTTATTATTAAATAATAAATCGAAATAATTTATTAATTTGCCCCTTCCCCTCCCCCCCCCCCCAAAAAAAAAAAAAATAAAAATTTACTTTAGTTAAACTTTCAATATAATTCCCAGTTTGATCGATATTTTTTTCTTCTAGATGAGTTTTTCTTTTATCTTGCATTTCGGTTGTTTTTAATAAATGAAGAGTATCACCAACCGGTCTTATTTTTTCTATTTCCGTTTCAAATTTTCTACATATTCTAAATAAAGTTAAAATTCTTTCTCCTTTAATTCGAATTTCTTTTAATTCCTTTAACGAATAAAAAAATTATATATATGCGAAATTTTGCGAGGAATAAATAAAAAGTTAAATAATAATAATAAATTTACTGTTAGTATTTCATTAGTTGCTGCTGTTAAATGTTTTAATTGATTTTCGTCTCCCTTAATTTCTTCATCTAAAATTTTTTTTAAATATTTAAAAGCATCGAGAAATTTTGCTCTTTCTTCTCTTAAATCTCTTATCAAATCTAAAGTTTCTTGAGGAGCGTAACAATTTTCAAAATTGTTTCTAAGAGTTGTCAATTGTTCCTGATAATAAATAAAATAAATAAAAACATTTTTTTTTTTTTTTTTGGGGGGGGGGAAAACATTGAAAAGAGACAAAAACAGGACGTTTGTTTCTTTCTTTCTTTCTTTCTTTCTTTTGTCACTTACAGACATTTTTTGTATTTTTTTAGTTTGTTCTGTAATTATTTTTGAATCCGCATCATCTTTAGTTTTTAATACAGTATATTCTTTTCTCCTTTTTTGCGTTAATAAATTATAATTTCTTATCGTGTTACCAATATCTTCCCATTTTTTTTCCATTCTTTTTTCCATCGTCCCTCGTAAATTTTCAAGTCTTTCAGTGTTCTACAAAACATACAAAACAAATTATTATTATTATTATTATTTAATTTTTTTTTTTTTTTTTTTCCCGGTCTTTGAAATGATAATTACTTTACTCTTTTCATCATCGATTTTTAAAAACATTTCACAATTCATTTGATCTTCTTTTTGATTTTTATTTTGTTCCATTAAAAAAAGCATAGATTTCATATTTTCACATATAATTGATTCTTCGTTATCGATTTGAGTAAATTCTTCGGTGGAATTTTTTTTTTTCTCATCTACGCTTTCTAAAAAACTCTTATGCAAATCTTCCATCCTCTTCAAATAAATACCTATGATGTGGAATTGTAAACATAAAAAGTTTTTTTTTTTTTTTTTGGAAAATTCAAAAAAAAAAGAATTTTTAATTTAAAAAAATATAATAATAATTATTTTTGCCTTCGAGATTTTTTATGGCCGAACTTTGACTTTGAGCTTGATTAACGTACATTTCATCAAATGTACTTCTTTCCTCTTCGAATAATAATTTTCTAAAATTGTGAGTTTCTATTAATTTTTCCATGTAGTGGAGAATGTGCTAAACATGTTTAAAAAAAAATTAATTAAGTTTGTATCGATTTAAAAATTATCATTATTATTATTATTATCGGGAAAAAAACTCACCCTTAAATTATCTTGCATTTCCGGTATTCTTATATCGAATAATTTTATGTACCATTTATCTCTTATCTTTTCTAATGATTTTTCATCTAAAACTATTTCTCGAGCTAGTAAATCCTGTTAAAAAAAAAAAAAATTATTATTAATATACATAATATGTACATAATTAATTAATTAATTAATTAATAATATTAAATACCTTTTTCATTTGTATTTTTTTTCTTTCTCTTTCTAATTTCAATGCGATGGCTCTTTGTTTTTTTTTACTTATCGGTGGTTCTTGTACAGGTTCTTCAGGTTCATCATCCATCATTTTTAATTATTTATTTATTAATTTATTATTATTATATTTTAATTTTTTATTATTATTATTAAATTTTGAAAATATTATTTTAATACAAAAAAAAAAATTATGATTTATTCGTATTTTAAAATTATATATTATTTTTTCTATTTATAAATATTTTATTATTATTATTATTATTATTATTCATTATTTTTATTGCCAATTTCGAAAAAAAAAAAAAAATGATAATAATAATAATACCTTCGTGATATTATTTAACATTTAAAAAATTAAATTTTATATTCTATGTGCGATCATTTAATTTTTTTCAAGTTCCTTTTGCAAATTAATAATTTTTTTTTTTTTTTTTTTTTATTAAATATGTAATTTGAAACGAGTAATTTATATTTAAAACAAATAAAAATTATAAATCCCCTAAAACCATTTTCTTAAAATTAATAAAAACATTAACAAAATAAAAAATAAAAAAAAAACTACATTTATCTAAACATAAAATGTCTTTTGTACGCTTATAAAAAAAAAAAGAAAAATTAAACAAAAAAATAATATTATAAAAATATATAAAAAACATATAAAAATATATAATTTTAAAAAAAAATTACTTCAATTGCACTAAAACTATAAAATCCCTATATCCACACCCCTTCCCATACAATCCCTATATTCAATTTATAATATCCACACCAAATATTTTTAAACTAATAATAATTCTACTAAATCAAAACAATTATTTTCAATTGATTCACCACCAAATCGTAAATAATACTAAATGATAATTATAATTTCAATCAAAATATCTGGGAAATTGACTGAAAAAATATTTGTAAAAAACAAATTTTATAAAAATCACAATAAAAATACTCATTACTCAATCAATTCAATCAATTTGTTCAAAATAAAACATTAAAAAATATTTTTCGATACCAAAAAAAAAATTTATTTCTCAACAAATTAAGAATTATAAATAATAATGATAATTTAATTAACAATGGCTAGTACTGAAATATTAATTAAGAGAGCGATATTTTTTTATTTTCCCAGTACAAATTATTTTTTTTTTTAAAATAAAAACTGTTAAAATTATTCGGTAAACATTATTAAGTTTTCAATTTTCTTAAATAAGAAAAGGAAGAATGGCTTTTCTATTTTTTGGATAATTTGGAAATTCTTTTTTGTAATTTTTATGTTTTCCTATAGCCCAAACAGTCATTTGATACATTCCAGCAAGAGCGAATATGGCAGCTGAAAATAAAATTATAAAAATTTTAAAAATGAATTTTTTTTTAAAATTTACATTATTTCATTTATAAAAATGACAACATACCTGGTAAGCACTGCGTCATCAGTGTGAAAAAAACCCAGCTTCCAAACTCATATGTATAATTTGGACAAGATACAAAATTAAATAATTTTGTGAATGGATTCTTTGTGGCAACTGGTATTTTACGAACATTGCTACCTGCTGGTCTTAAATTTCTCAATGCCACATGTATACTAAAGTTTCCAAATTCACAAAGCTAAAAAAAAAAAAAAAAAAAAAAAAAAATAAATACTAAAACTAAAATACCTTAAAAGAAAAAAAATTTTTATTACTAAATTATTATTACCAAGAATAAAGCCAAGCTCAAATATATTTGCAGAAAACTCGGAGCGGTATATAATGGATGGTTTATGTGATAAGCAACATATGCAGTAAACATCCAGTAATAAGAACAATTTTTGAATAAATTTGTCAAAGGCATTGTAGCATGAGAAAATCGATGTACAAAAAGTGTTTCCAAAATTCTTTTGAAATAATGAAAAAAATAACATGCAGCTGCAATACTGAAAGAAAAACATTTCGAGTTTTAATTAATTCATAAAAAAAATGTCCATTACTTATTAATTGATAGTCATAATAATTTTTATTTAAAATGTAAGTTAAAACGATAAATATTAAAATGAAATTCACTTACTGAACAACAAAATGATAAGGTAAATTTTCTACATCGTTACCATAAATCAACCATGGCCTTTGATAAAACAGCAAATACACCCCTAAGGGTCCAGCATACTCGGCTAAAAACACTGTTTTCCAACCTATTTGAGGGCCTAAATCTTTCACATAAACCTTTGATCCGTCCATTAAATTTAATGATTTTAAAGTATCATTATCTTTCAGAGCTTTTCCTTTAACATCTAATTTTAATGATTGTCGATTTGGATGTAATTTTTTGTTTAACTTGTAAACTTCTTTTTTCAATTGAGCAACGGTAGTTGATGATGAAGCATTTTTAAAACGGCCGAGGGACTTCGAACCGGCACTACTAAGAAATTCAATCTGGCAAAAAAAATAGAAAAACAATTTTTTTTCTCTGTACAATAATTTAAATAAATTGTAAGAAAATTATTTTCATTGATAAAACAAATTTCTTGAATTTTGGTAGTTCGAACTTTAAGGTTTCTAATTAAAGTTTAAACTTATCAGTCAAGTTTTTTTTTTTTTTAAACGACAACCAAAATAAATAATTTTTCCCATTAAAACATGAATGTAAAAAAACCTTTTAATTAAATATTAAAATTCAAAATTATAAAAAAATTATTAAATTTCTTTAAAAATAACAATAATTTAAAATTAAAAAAATTTAAGCCAAGTCATTAGTACTTACCTCCATGTTGAATACTGACAATTAAATTTTTAGTTATAATTTTCACCGCTAGAGTGATAATCTAACAAGTAAAACTTAACGAAAAATGGAAGTTTTTAATTTTTTTGCTATTCTAAGTTAATTTTTTTCACCAATGATTTGTAATTTCAGGTGAATTATCACACAATATTATATTTTACAACTTTTTAAAATCATAATAAATTAATTTTTTATAAAATTAAAATAAAAAATTTTTTCTTCTTTAAATTATGACGTGTAAAGTACTAACGTTTCTACTAAAACATGGAAGCCATAGAAAACCGTTTTTTTTTTATAACAACCGAAACTTTTTTTTGATAGCGTTTCTTCTTAAAATGTATTACGTTTTTCAAAAAAAAAAGTATTAAACTAATCAATTCATATTTATTTTTGAATATAATTTCATTACAGATAATTTTACTTTTAAATATAATTTTTAACATTATGCTACTAGCAATATGAGCCTGAAGGTTTAAATTTTAAAATAAAACATCATAATTAACATAACTATCTTCGTTGTAGTAATAAATTGAAAATTTTGAAATTATTCTGATATATTTCAATAATATAAACTCTGAAATTCTTGGCTTATTTAAAAATTTTTTACCGAAGTGAATTATTTAATAAAGAATAAATTCTAAAAATGTTCACTATGGGGTAGACATTAGTTCAATTAGCCTTTAATAATTGATTTTTTTTTTAGCTTAATCACGTGATAATTATGTAACAATACAAAGCAAGGGAGACAGTTAATTTTTCAGTATATCATTTTTATTGAGAATTGTGTAACATGTCAACGGAAAAGTCTTTGTTTGCTACAACTAAGGTTCCAAGGTACACATTTACAGGAGTAGGGAACACCGTACCTAAAATAAATGTTAAAAAATCTCACTGCTGTTTATATTCAGTTTTTTCGTGAGTTTTTTATTTTTGATATAATTATTTAATTTGAATTTAGTTTAAATGACACAAACACTTTGATTGATTGATTTAAATGTCAAAGCTACATATAAAAGTTGTAATTAAAATGGCTAATTTTAAATTGATTACTTAAATTCTTATATTTTAGTGGCATAGCAATACTAGCAGCTCTTTTGATAACGTTTTTATATTATGAAAGAGTTCAGGTAAAAAACATAATTTCAAATACATCATCAGAATTAGACAATTTACTAAAATTAAAATGGCCGATAAAAGGTAAAGATTCTTATGTATATAAGATGTCACTCAGACATAATTTTTAAAAAATGTACATTTTCCTTTGATTGTATAGAAGAAAATTATAAGGAAGTGCAATTACCGGCATTGAACGATCAAACAGACGCTTTTGAAGTAGCATTTCAAAATTTAAAAGAATTAGAATTAATTGAAAATGATCTTCCAACGGTTCCAGTTAAATCTCCAGTTTTTAGAGCTCAAATTGCTACTTATACATCTGAGGAAGCAAGTAATATGTCTAAAGTCGGACAGCTTTTAAATTTTGGAGTCAAAGAGATACATCGGCGGTATATATATATATTTTTTTTTCTTTTATTGCTTTTAATATGACGGATATTAAAATAGCCAAAAGTATTTATAGTTATAAGAATCCCAATAAGCACGATACTTTAAAAAGGTGGAAGCTTTTTGATTCTTCGGTTTTACTCGATGGCTTCTGTTATCCTAATTATACAATCAACTGTCATCAGTCTTTGTATAGAACTGCCGATGGAACTTGTAATAATAAAGATTTTGATAAAACATGGGGATCCGCCATGAAGCCTTTTAGAAGAATTCTGTTGCCAAATTATTCTGATGGTTTGTGAAGTTTTTTTTTTTTTATTAGATACAAAACTTATTTTGAAAGCAAAATATTTATATTTTTTCTTATATTTTGAAAGGTATATCAGAGCCAAGAAAATCAACGAAAAACGAAGAGCTACCATCAGCTAGAAAAATTAGTCGTTTTATTCATAGACCGGTTTATAGAAATGATGT